CCGTGCGCGGTTCGAAATACACGCAGTGCTACTGGCGCGCTGTTAGCTGAGGTGCTACCTGGTGCTATACCTGCCGCGGTATAGACTGGGCTCACTGCGATAGCTCAGGTTGTGTGCCATGCGATAACCGTGAACAATTTGACTAGGAAGTATATCTTGTCGCAAAATATTTGATTATATCTCTACCTCGTGTATGTACCTATACCTTAAGTATGTGTTAATTGTGTGCTCGTATGTATACTTTTTGAGCTGTGTCGAAACCAACAGGGCTCGGAAGCGGACAACTCCATCAAGATACGTCAGATGGGGTGATGCGGCTTAAAACGTGAGAGAACTGTTAGCTGTGTGAACCTACTTACAGCTAGTGCTTACCTCCTAAGGCAAAGTGAACACAACAGACAACGACAATACTGTGCGGGGTTCTGTCTCCCATGTTGACTTCCAGCGTGACGTTTAGCGTAACTATTATTTTTTTCCTGCGTAACCAGCGGCGTCGCCGACGGGGGGGTCGGGGGGGTCGTGACCCCCCACTCTTGAAAACTGGGGGTGTCGACCCCCCCCACTTTTTGCGATGCTGAGTATGCTTTTTTAGCTTTTATGTCAGTGAAGCAGGCGTCAGCAACACCAACAAATACATCAGACTCAAAATCGCTTCAAGAGCTCCCTAAAGCCAATTAGCCAATTACCTAAAGGTCAATTAGCTGTGGGCGGGGAACACCAGCACAACAATGTTTTTAAGTAGCCCCCATCCTAGTACCTTTTTATCCCTCCAAGGATTGGACGCGCCAAAACTGCCCCGAGCGTTCGTCTGATCGTTTTAAAAAAATGGTCGCAGTCGATTCGTCGGATCAGTACCTAACTACAAAACTACAAACTAGCCTCAGCCCCATGGCTACCGTCACAAACTAGCTGTACAGTGCACATGTAGGGGAAAGGGAGTCAGATGGAACCGTCTCGGGCTTTCGCAAAGAAGTCGCGCAAAAAGGAGCCGATTGCAACAAAACTTCCGGTGCGCTCGAGTTAATCACCTACTTAAAATAAATCGATATCCCTGATTCAAATAAAGATGACCTTAGTTCACTTTTTCATAACGTGCTTTTAATTGATAGGGTAGTTTTTGGAGCTGATTTTGAACATAGCGCCCATCTGAACATTTAAGAAGTAGTTGTGTTGCTTATTCATATAACATGCTAGGAAGCAATCGGTGGTGGTCATCCACTATTAGGTACTGGTCGATCTGACCTGACCTGATCTACCCCAAATGCATGGAGTCATCATCTTCGTTCAAAACTAAGATAACATTCGTAATCAGAACCTCGAAAAACCATCACAACTTACATTCGTTAAGTTCTAGCAGGTCCCGAGTTTCTCTACTTATTGGCGATGAGATGACCTGAGTCCTGAGATGACCCGAAAACTTGTAAATGGGTATCATCGGCTTTCTCTCGTCACGGGCAGCATGCTCTTTTTTCCGCAAACCTGTAGATCGATCAGGGGTCGAAAGCATGCCTCAGCGTTAGTTAAGTATGCGTTATACGTTAGCGACTGGGAAACCACCAATAGAAGGGCTACAGTGAAGCAGAAAACTATTCGATAGCTCTTTTAACGCTCTTTCGCTAGCTTCGCGTTAGATTTCATCTCAGGTCTATGTTTGGCACATAAGAAGGCAAACAGCTAACTGGACAGATTCTGCCGAAACATCTGCTTTGCAATAACTTTCGAAACCGTGAATTCGTATGGTATTTACATATGTTGTCTTGTCACCACCGTCTTGATCTCTTTGAGACGCGTCACATGAGTTAAAATTTGACCATTCAGAATTAACGTTAAAACGACCTCAGGTCAACGTTATGTCCTGATCGAAAAAGGACCTCCTGCTGCATATGAATGGATCCGTGTTGTTGAGCTGAACAGTGAACACCTTCCAGGTGCTGTCATCGCTCTACCGCGTCTTCGTCAAAAGTTGTAGAAAAAAATGCTGGTGGCCATCGATGGACATTTCCACTAATGACCTTTCGAGTCATCACTCGCCATAAGTTGCACCCTGTCCCTGGCAATGATGAGCTGATTTGTCATGGCTCCAAAGATATTTTGCGTTTCTGACGAACTTTTTCAAAGCAGGAGGCATTCGTGCTTTTTCTAATTTCTCAGGGTGAAGACTTCCATTTCGCGTCTAGCTAGACGCGTCTTAAGTCTTAGACGCGTCTAGCTGGACGGCGGCTGCATCTATCTGGCGACAGCTTACTTCAGACGCGTCTTGCTTGGAAGTCTCCGTCCAACAGTTAAACGCCAAGTTAGACGCCAACTTGGACGTCTGCTCAGTTAGATGCCAGTTGGACGCCAGTGGAAGTCTCCACCCATTTTCTAATGATGAGGTCACGTATTTGACCTGCCTTCAGATCATAGATGTAAATCCTCAGTAGAGCACTTCATGGGCCGGATAAATCCGTTATCCACGGATAAATCCGCGGACCGGATAGGATTGGATTCTAAATTTGTTAACCCGCGCCCCGTTGGGCTCTGCCGAGCAACGCGCCCCGTTGGGGGGGGGCCATTTTGGCCCCCCCTAAGATCTCGAGAACCACGCAACGTAGCGACAAGCGGCAAACGGTGTTGGATAGCCCTATCAGGGAACTACCTTGTGACCCAATTTTATTGACCTAGGTCAAACCGATGACGTCACAGGTCAGGTCAAAGGTCCAATTTTCACCGTTTACAGGCATTTCAAGAAATGCGTTGTAAAATCGAGTAAAATGCATTTCATTGAAAATCATCGATGGGGAAATGTTCTTCAAACACATATTTTGCTAGTTGAGGTCACTGATACCAGGTCAGGTCACTGAGGTCAGGTCACTGGGGGGTCACAATATGAAAGTGTCGTGTGATACATGTTTTATGGTCCATTTTACATGACAAATGCGATTATGTGGGTCAGGCAGCCTTTGGGGCCAGCTTAGGTCACGTTTTGGTCAAGGTCAGGTCAAGGTCAGGTCAAGGTCAGGTCAAATAAGGTCAAATTTCAAAGTTGATATTTTTGCATAAAATGGGTATCGAATCGATGCAGCTCGTCACGGGGAGTTCAATAGTGGTCTTTGTTTTGCCGTACGAGGTCTAGAATCGCTAAAAATTGAGTTCAAAAATTTGACGTCATCATTTTTGAACAGTTTTTTCGCTATAACTTGGCGAAAAAACGAGATATCGATCTGAAATTTGGTATGTATATAGAAGAGCGCAGGGACTATCATATTTTTTCCGGTTTTTTCGAAATTCGGAAAAAATTTTGATTTTTTTTTAGTTTTTCTAAAAAAATCAATTTTTTGATTTTTTTGGGTCAAAAACCCAAAATTTTGAAAATCCGAGATAGCAGTTTTGTAGCGCCGCTTTTTGTCTATTAGACCATATAAAGAACTTTGAAATTGCTTGATAACTGTAGATTTGGTGAGCGTTTCAAGATTGCATGTTTTTTGCTCATTTTTGCTCGAACATGACCTCAGTTTGACCTCAATAACTCCTGACCTAAGGTGACCTAAGACTTGAAATTTGGTGTGAAGGTGTCAAATTGATGCCCGGAAAGGTACTGAAAATTTGGCGGCGCTGCGCGCCGCCGTTTTCTTGCTATTCAGGAAAAACCACAGGGGGGGGGCCAAAATGCCCCCCCCCCCAACGGGGCGAGGGTTAAAAAAGAACGGATATGGGCGGGCCGGATTTGGGAATTGAAGGTTGAACCCGGATCAAAACGGATCAAAATTTTAACATTCAACATTGAAGTTAAAAATTAACCTAATGTGTTAAGCGGCAGCAGAGGTTTGATTAAAGTAATAGGCATCATTTTATGACACTCACTTGTCACAAGACTTGTATGGCTGTCTGGTCCCTTAGATTGAATTTGTTAGTCCAGTTTTGGGTGAAACCAGTTATTGGTGAAACGGATTATTACGGATATTTTTTGGAAGTTTGGCTGCAATACGGGCCATGGGTGGGCCGGATTCTGATATTCAAAGAAAGGCGGATAATGGGCGGATCTGGATATGACTTGCCGGATATGGGCCGGGCCGGATCCTAAAAAGCCTATCCATGAAGTGCTCTAATCCTCAGTTAGAATCATGAATTGCTGACACGTATAACCCCATACATTAGGTACCTATACAGTGTACCAAATTTCGAAGTTATGGGAGAAAAGCTACAAGAATGGCGAGAGGGGAAAGTTTTTATAGAGGTATACCGTATAACTGAACTTGACATGGCGACCTGACCTTAAGTGACCAGTGATAATTTTTACGCAAGTGATGTAGGTAGGTATACCTACCTAATAGGTTATACCAAATTTGGCGGCGCTGCGCGCCGATTTGTTACACACGCACACACACACATACGCACGCACAAAACTGGGAAGTGTGGCAAAAAAACACCCCTACCCATCGGGTGAAGACTAGAAACCCGACCCCCCCACTCAAAAATCCGTGGCGACGCCCCTGTGCGTAGCTATTTAATCGCATAGTTCCAGCAGAACTATGCGATTAGGTACCAACTACATATAATATGATTAATAAAAAGTCACCATAATTAATCCAACGCCAATAAGTTGCTCGTCCTTCAAAACTTACAAAGCTCGTTGCTCTACGGGGTGATGCTCCTTCAGGTTGTGGGTGAGTCTGCTGATCTCCATGTCAGTCCTTCTGCTTCTGCTGCTGTCGAACTCGGGTCAGCTTTCACAGGAGGTCACATGGCGACCTCCGCGACCCGCCGAGCCTCGGCCAGCACACCGGACACGGGCCTCCGGAGAAGGTACTTGCAACACCCAAATAACACCGGCTTATGCAGCATTATAATAATGCTAGTGTGCAAACGTGAGCATTTATATCGATTTCAGGACTCTAGAAGAGCAATTGGTGGCTGCTACCAACTTTTGTAATGTTATGTGACCAATGACCATCGTATAACTTAAGAGTGTTCAGTTTGGTTTCAATTTCCCAGATCTATCCTGGAGACGGATGGTGCGAACAGAAGGTAGAAATCGTACCAAGCCCTCTCGTCTTGTGATTTACAACAGAGTGGATAAAGCTGGTAGTTCTACGCTACAGACACTCATTTTAAGGTGGGTAAAAAGGCATTGCATAATATATATGTGATATGTACGATACAGGCAATCAATGGAATCAGACATTGTCTAGGCATTCTATAGAATGCCTGACCGACCAGATATTCTATAAAATCACATGGCAGACATTCTATAGAATTCCTGACTGTACACAAATGTGGAGGGAAATAGCCTGCATCTGCTTCCAAATAAATTATCATTACGATCATGGCTAAGAAGAGAAGAAACGATTTCTTGCTTTGATCTATAAATTCCTGTGTATTCGAACTAACTACATTGAATGTCTTGTGTTGCAGATTAGGGATGAGGTCTCGGGCCTTTAAAACTGAAGTCTCCAAGCTATATTGGAGCCGGTATCTAGGCAGAAAGGGCGAAGCTGCACTAGCCAATTCCCTGATAAATAAGTCACGGATTGTCCCCTTCGTGTATAGTCGTCATGTCAGTTATGTTGACTTCGCCAGGTGAGAAAATGCTACATGTGTGTGGCGGCCGATGGCCCGATGCAACTGGGCTAATGACACTTTAGCAATGGTGGAATGATATATTTTACTGTAACTTTGTCAGTTAGCTTTCATAGACATTAGACGATTCTGCAAAGAGTTATTAGGCGAGTCTTCACAGAATGAAGTTTTTATGCGAGCAGAGACACATAAGATAACGCTCAAAGAGGTCCACAGTCAACACTGTAAAAACAAAGATCGCTGCTTTGCACCGTACCAATTAAGTCTCGACGAAAGTTTGGGGAATGTCAATATTTTGCCATCATCACTAGTAAAAGCGTCAGGTGACTGTAGAATAACTAATACAAAACCGTTTCTTTCTTTCGTAGATTGAAGAAACGACAGCCCATCTACATCAACCTCATTCGGAATCCTGTGGATCGCTTTGTTTCGCGGAATCCTGTGGATCGCTTTGTTTCGCGGAATCCTGTGGATCGCTTTGTTTCGCGGAATCCTGTGGATCGCTTTGTTTCGCGGAATCCTGTGGATCGCTTTGTTTCGCGGAATCCTGTGGATCGCTTTGTTTCGCTGTTTCATTTTCTGCGCTCGAATCGACGTAAATTGAAGAACTCGACGGACACGGCATGGTAAGATTTCAATAACCCGAGGACGAACGGCACCGGGAATAGAAACCCCGGAGTGCTGCCTTACCTGAGCTATGCGACCAGGGTCATAGTCCACAATACGAACTACGAATGTTGTGTGTGTTGTGTCGGCCATCTTAGGTAATACAGTTTTCTATAGTAAATTATTTATCAAAATAATTGGTCGATTGTTTTGATTAAAACGTAAGGTCGATCACTGTAAACTATATAGAACCAAAAAATAACTTCTCACTTTGTTCCGCTAACAGGCTGAAGAAGAATCTAACAGAATGTGTCCTGAGTGGCGACGCCGAATGTGCCATGTCACAGGAGTACAGTCACCGACGGTCGGGTCAGAACCCAGAGTTCTTCCAGCCAATGACCGCGTTCTTCTGCGGCCACGAGCCATTCTGCAGGTGAGGAGTTATCCGCGCAGCCGGTGGGTTCACATGGTGTGCTGTGCCAGATTTAAACACATCTCACAAATCAAAGAAGAGATTTTGTATTTAAGTGTCGAACCTCACCAGCGTCCAGTCGAACCTCACCAGCGTCCAGCATTGTACATATATAACTTTATTACTGTCTCTTTGGGCGTCGTTTCAGCATGAGTGTGAAACGAGATACAGATTTGAGATAGTGAATGGCGTCATGTCTATTACCTACTTAGACATCTTCATATGATCGTTCTGTGATTGTCTTGGGTTACAGGAGGTTCAACAGCAGGCCAGCTCTGCAGAAGGCCCTTCAGAACCTGGAGCTTAGATACTCCGTGGTTGGCGTGTTGGAAACATTTAGAAAATCTCTAAGTGTCTTTGAGGCCTTTGTTCCAGAATATTTTAAGAATATTGGAAAGCTTTACGATAAAGCACGTGGTAAGTATATCATTTCAGCGATCGTGTAGTGTCCAATGTCAATGGTGTTTTTATTTTAAATTAAGATTTAAGATGTATAAGGTTTAAAATGTATTTATAATGTAACTTGATGCAATATGCATTGCGCATTATGTGCTTGAAAGAAAGCCTAGAATAGTTTCAATTTCAGTCATAACATATCTTTCCTCATATTTACGCAAATGCGTGGTCATGCATGCTCCATTTCAGATAAGAAGGTGAACCAGAACCCGAATCACGCCCAGCCTCCAGCAGCGGTGAGGGACATCCTGGCCAGACGTATGACGTCCGACATAGAGCTGTATATGTTCGCCAAACAGCGGCTACATCTGCAGTTCAAACGGATCCGGCCCCGGTCACAGCGACGACTGACCAGTTCAGCGGCTGTGTGAACACGCGTCGGTATTAGCGCAGTGCAATCCTGTTATTTGTGATATGCATATTCAAGTTAATCGGTTGTCGAGGAAGTGACATGCATTATCTATTCCTATTGGCAATGTTCTTAGTGGAACCGTATGCATTGGCAATGTTCTTCAGAAGGTCTGAAGCAAAGCATGAAACTGGTTTTGATATCTGAGTCAGGTAGAGCGTAGCTCATCGTTTCCTTTATGTCAAAGGAAACGATCATACCTTCGAATGATGAGACTCATGACGACAGATACATGTACAGTCGTGTTATGGTCATTATGTGATTCCAAAGGTAGATCATTGTTCCTTTTTATCAAAGGATCTTGCTGATGATGAGGTCCGACGAAAGATGTGAAGCCGCCTTCTGACTATTCCTTTATGTCACAAGTCATGACAATTAGCTCCTATCCTATGGAGTGCGTAATGGCCCATTCTTTCAATGAGAAGGTACAATATGTTTGTTTATTGTATTGTTTATCGTTCCTATGTGGTTCGTAAATCGTAATAAAATGCAATGGCTTTAGCAGGCATGTGATCAGTAAACCTTTCACTTATTTCTGCAGAATGAATCAAACTCTGTTAAAAAGTTTATAAGAAGTGTGTAGTTTTGACCAACGATGAAAAGCCAAACGCCTTTTTATAAATCAATATAAATTGTCCTTTCATTAGCATCCATTAACCTATCTTGATATATTTTTTATATGAATGGGAAAGGCAATGGGAACGTGTTAATTTGTATATTAAAAACACGTTAAAAATAATTAATGACGTTCCCATTACCTTTCCCAATTACATCAATAGACCATGGGTCTATGTATTAATGAGATATTTTCTCTTCGAGCCTAGCTAGCTCATAAATGACTAGGTATTGCTAATACGCCAGAGCGTCGGGTGAGGACACTTAGCAACTTATACTCCTGCAGGCATGACGTAAGGAGTGCGTCATATCTCCTCAGCACAATATTCCAGAGCACGGGTATGTTTTTCGTTTCCACTTGCTTCGTCCTCTGCGTGTACCCCGAAATCCGGAAGGAGCCGGCCGGAACCGGCCCTGAAATGTTTTAGAACGACCTTGGCACGACCTTTTTGTTTAGTAAAGTGCGACGAGATGGCAAGGACGTCACAACAGTGACAACGTCTGATAGAGGAAAATAGTGTCACCGAAACAGTAACCAGACGCTCCAACTGTGGATCAGCTAGATGATTGTTACAAATAGGCGTCTCACACTGAACGTTGAAGTGACAATAGCCGTTTTCACGACGGGCTATCCGGCGAATGCACCTGATTTGACCAAATCTGCACCTAATTTCTTTTACAGCAAATATCTTCATTTCATGAATTCATTTCAGTGTTTTAATCGATGATGCACTCTGATAATATGATAAAGCAGGCATATAAGCAATTAGTGCAACCCTAGCTGATAGCTGCTAAGAGACACACTGAACCTGATTTGACCAAATCTGCACCTAATCTGTAACAGATGTGCACCAAATGTGTACCAGATGGCCGTCGTGAAAACGGCTAATGACGACAATTTAAGAATCCATCCCTCTCGTTAGTAGTTTTTTTAAAGGTAGTGTGCCAGCTTTCTTGGACCGTATGGAGTTAATGGCCCAGATAAGGAGAACCGGATTTTTAGAACTTATCCATACCTTCAAAACTCATGGAAACGTCTTAAATTCTTCAAATTTTGAGTACCCCAGTGCGAAATTCGCCCCGACGGGTTGTCGGTCGTACCCCAACCACATTTCACACCACTATGAACAATAAATGCACACACTGAAATCGCTATTACCGATATGCTCATCCAATCAAGTTTCGATAAACCCGTTCATCATCATCTCCTGCGGTTTCGAACACGCCTGTTAGGTGGCTTCTGATGCTCGTCGAGGTCGGAATTTCCAAATACGCGTGGTGCGTCGGGCCGCGCGCTCTGACTTCGGCCAAGAAAAATGCGTCAGCTGATCATTGTCATTTCTGCCACTTGCTGTTTGTTTGTTTGTTAATTGGGGCTTTAGGGCGCGCCGACTACTTAGGTCATTTTGCGCCCATTCTGCCACTTGCGTGTGGTGAAATGGGGTCATAACTTATAAGACGGCTTTTTCATATCAATTATTTTACATAAAATCATATTTCAAACCATAAATAATGTTCGACAGCCAAATAAAAGAAACAATACAATACGGGCTTACAGTTTAAAGGAAATAGTTCACTTTTTAACATGGGTTTTGAACTGGAATAGCAGTTCCGTAGCCTGGGCTGAGACGAGCATAAATCAGGAGCTTTTACAGCCCAACGATCACCCTAGGCAAAGATATTCTATTTCTCGTCCCGAAAAAGGTGTCTTGCGTTGAGGATGTGTGCCTTGCATATATTTCCATCCAGTATGAAAAGAGCATGGGTACCGAAAATTCTTCAGAAACTAGAGAAATTATCTACGAGAACTCTAGAGAAATTCTCGTACTGATCAATAAGGACATTCAGCAGCAGCAGATCGCCCAAATGCCGGTGGCCGCGATAATTTCTCTAGTTTCTGAAGAATTTTCGGGACCCATGCTCTTTTCATACTGGATCGCGTGTGCCTTACAGAAACTGAAAAGTTCTTCCTATATCAAAATATAGAAAATAATCTTTTGTTATAAATAGGTTTTATTTTCTTTGCTGATCATTTTGAACATAAAAAATCATAAATCCATTGCAAAAAAAATAATTTCGTGAAAGTGAACTATTTCCTTTAAGGCTCGACATTGTGTTGTCTACGATTAGACAGCTGATAACTCATTCCCGTACGTCGTATGGTCGTAACACTATAATGACCTTTGCTTATTGTCACAAGTGCGCCGCATTCGCGATTGTTGCCCGACGCCTGTTTGCAGGTGAGCCCACTACAGTTGTTATACATATCTAAAAACCGAAAAACTTTTAGGCGAAAAAGGCACTATTCCAGGCCCATTTTTGATTTTTTTTTGCGATATTAGGTAAAAACAGAAGCTTCTTGTCCTAGGAAAAATAAAATGGGAAATCTTTCAAAGGTGGCATACTACCTTTAAGGTACGTTTGTGGTCAAAGCTCAAACGTACCCTTAATTGATGGCAAAACGTTTAACCTTCGCCGGCCGAGGGAGGAGGGTGCTGCCCCCAGAGATTTTTTTCGCGCTAGCTCCGAACACGCCGGAGGTAGAGAGCTGAAACTTGGCATACCTGACCTTTGATCCGGGCCACATCTTATGACCTTAAAAGCATTTTCAGGTCAGGTCAGCTCACTGACCTATGACGTCATAAGTGAAACTCTCCACGGTCTTAACCCGCGCACCGACGGGGGGCGGATATCCGCCCCCCCCCTGTGGTTTTTCGCGGATAGCGGGAAAACCGCGGCGCTACGCGCCGCGAAATTTGGTACAACTATTCTCTCATCAATTGTACACATGGTGTGCAAGTTTGAACCTCCTAACTTTTAAGGTCAGGTCACCAGGTCACTTTGAATGACCCAACCTCAAGTCACTTTGCAACTTTGTCACCGTGCCAGAGCTACAGTAGATGTCGGAGGCCTTTGAAAGTCGCAGGATGTTATTAGGTCATTAGTAGCTACAATTTGTTGATCTCGGAATTTTGATGTCGGTGACCTAAGGTCAGGTCAATTTCGCGACCTCCCCATTATAAGTCAATGGGGGAAAAATCAACTCCCTGTTTTTACCACTAAAACGGGTCGGAATGGCCCCATATACCATACATGACTTCATATACGATCAACCTTCACTACCTTGAGGTCTGTTTTGCTGTTGGGCAGCTGTAAGGTCATGTGACGTCATCAAAGGTCACCAGCGGTTTTTTGCCAATAACTCCGTACAGGAACAAGATACAGCCGCGCGGATGGTCTCATTGTGTTCAGCTCGTCAAGATGCATCGAATGATATACATGATGACCTCGAGGTCACGTGACCTGAGGTCAACCTTTGACCTTGACCTTTCGAGGTCAACATATATATCATTCGATGCGGATTGGCGAGAGGATCACGATGATGCCCTTAGTTTGTTCCTAGCTTGACTAATTCGAAAGTTATTCGAGAAAAACTCTCTCCATATCTAGCGCCGCCATTTTGACTTTTTCGACTGCTGTGACGTCATCTTTGACCTGACCTGAAAATGACCTTAGTAAAAATTGTAGACCTTGTCCGTGCGTATCCGATGCCGTTTGCCGCTTGTCGCTATCTTGCTCCGTTCTCGAGATCTCAGGGGGGGGGGCGGTCATCCGCCCCCCCCCCCCCGTCGGCCGTCGGTGCGAAGTTGGCGCAGACCCCCGTCGGTGCGCGGGTTAAAATGTAGCAACTTCGCAACGCACGCAGTGCCAGAGAAGCTTTTACAGGGAGATGAAACTTACAGGATTTGGCATCCTCCAGAGGTCTCACCACTTGTATGTCTCGGATTTTTCCTAAAGGTCACATGAGGTTAGGTCGGTCACGTGACCTCACCATTATACCTAAGTCAACGGGGAAAAATGAAAACTGCTATTTTAGCGCCGGGAACGATTTCATGCTATCTCACGCACACGGAATCGTAATTTCTTGCACTCCATGTAAGGCTCGATGCTTCACTTTTTCATTGTTGACCTGGCGTGACGTCATTAACCCGGCAGGCGGTGGGCCCCCCGGCCACCTTCCGCGCGGTGGGGGGGGGGCATTTTTTGCCCCCCCCCCTCCCCCGTATCTCCGAAACTACTGGACGGATCCGGAAAATTCAAACGGCGTTCGATAGCCCTGTCAAATTTATCGGAGGAAACCAAATTTCATTGACCTGGGGGTCACCGATGACGTCACAGGTCAGGTCAAAGATAAAATGTTTCACCGTTCACGGGTCTTCGGGAAAGCGCTATAACACCGAGTAAAACGCATTTTGGCGAAAATCAGCGATAGGGCTTCAGTTGTCTAGTACATATGTTGCTATTAGAGGTCACTGGTCATACCAGGTCAGGTCACAGGTCAGGTCACGAAGGGTCACCATATGAACCCAACTTTACTAAGGAATTGTGCGATGCATGTTTTATGGCCAATTTTTCATTTCCAATTCAATGGTGCTGGTTATAAGACCATCAGGTACGGTTTAGGTCACTTTCTGGTGGAGGTCAGGTCAAGGTCAGGTCAAAAAGGTCAAATTTCAAAGGTGATAGATTTGCATAAAATGGGTATTGATTCGATGCAGCTCGTCACGGGGAGTCAATTGGTGATCTTTGTTTTGCGTTACGGGGTCTAGAATTGCAAAAAAAATGTGCTTGAAATTTTGACGTCATCAATTTTGAACAGTTTTTTCGCTATAACTTGGCCAAAAAAAGAGGTATCGATCTATCTCAAATTTGGTATGTAGATAGAAGGTGGTAGGGACTATCATATATATTCCGTTTTTTTTTTTCGAAATTCAAAAAACTTTTTGGATTTTTTGGCTATTATATTCAAAAATCTATTTTTTATTTCTAGGGGTCAAAATCCAAAAATTTCAAAAATTCGAGATAGCAGTTTTGAAGCCCTCTTATTTCTACACCTTTTATAACCAAAACATTTTTCTGTATCTCTTAAGCTGTAGGTCTGACAGCTCTTCCCGCGAAACCTTTTTTTGTCGAAAATGGCAAAAATGACGTCACTCTGACGTCATTTTTGGCCAACCTATTATAGCCTTTGGAATTTTTTTTGGTCACAATGTACAATAACTATTCACGGGAGGGTACTGAAAGTTTGGTGACGATCGGCGCGGCGGTTCTGGAGATATATCGAAAAAACTAAAGGGAGCAAAAAATGCCCCCCCCCCCCCATCGCCTGGAAGTTTAATGATGTCACTTCGGTCATAACAGTTTTTCGTCCATAACTCCCGATCAAATTGCGCTAGTGAGTCGGGAAAGCCACCAATGGACTCAGGAAGACCTGCCGAATCCTTTGACCAGCTTCGTGACCTTGGGCCGCTGATCTGACCTGGACCCGAGGTCAACACCACAAGTTGACCTCACCCGAACAAAAAGTATACAGGTTGACCTGAGACCTTAAAATCGGATACCATTCGCTGTGTCTAATAACGGCGCAAACGCTCGTTTTTTTCCGCGACGCTCCAGCTCCATCAGGGGTGAAACGGCCATGGGGGTCATACAAACCAACTCGCCGGCGCTATGTAGGCCGGCGCGTATGTAGAAAATCAAATGGCCGGCGAGGGTGAAGTTCAGTGTCAAATGTAGCGACCCTCGCATGAACAAGGTCCGGGAAAGGCGACGCCAAGCCAAGTGCCGGGCACTGCCACATTATTTTACCCTAGGCCGTAGACGTCTTATCAGCACAGCTAAGGGTTCTGTGATGGGTCAGTATTTAGTGTGAAACCGTTCTTTCTATGTAGAGCGGAAGCTTCCGTTTGAAGGAACTAGAGCGAGCCCTCGCCCTGACCGAATGCGAAGTTTTCTCATACAAATGCATGGGTTTATCAATGGTTGCGTTGGATCATCGGGGGTCCCTCGGAAGTCGGAGATCGACGTAAGGCCCTCTCAGGGAGAGAAGGAGGGCGTAGATAAGGCCCGCTGTCTCTATCAAATGGGGTGTGGAATCCTCATATATGCCAATACGGGACCCTCAGAGGCCCACCTAAGCCCGCCCTTAGACCGGCATGGGAGGAGATTGAATCGGCGTGGGACTTGGGAGCATAAGTGACTACTAATCTTCTGGAACCGATAGGGATCATAAAAAAATAATCCAATATGTCCTTAGAATCTGGCACGATACCTATGAAGGCCAGTGCACCCCTGAACACCAATGCTTTGCAAGCTCCTTTGAGGCCATGTGACCCTTAAGAGGACTGTGTGACTCCTTGGAACTGTGTTTGATCATTAGACCGGTGCAAGTCCCTTAGAAGCTGTTGTATGGCAGACGGCTCTTGATATCGGCGTGGGGTACCCAAAGATGGTGTGGGGAGAGGGGCCTTCTGAGGCCGACGTTCCTCCCCGTTTCTCCTCGAGAACCGGCGTGGGACTCTAGGATCCGACGTGAGGCTGCTGTAGCCTGGAGTCTTTCGTCTTCCAAACCAATTTTTACCTATTACGCTAATACTAATTTGGGACCACCTACACTATACCGGTTTACGGTTAGATTGCGAAAGGCGACCCGCGTTAGTTGTGATCTCACTTTAGTAGGTACACAATGCTCTACACACGTGTAGCATACAGGGGCCGTTTCTACATCTCAAGAACGACTGGACTGATTGCACCCAAAGTTGGTTGTGGGTACCGGCTAGATATGTAACTTGTTTTTATCTAGGTAAGTTACACTGTCAAAGATAGATGGCCCGATCATTCAGCTAGCTTACCACAGATAATTTTTTCATTTGATTTTTTTTTTTCAATGCAGATTGCAGCGAATACCTTACAATCCCACTTTTACATTTGATTGGTCACCAAAAAAGTTTTATCTTGTTGTTTTTATCATAAGAATTGTACAAGCAGTAGCTTTATTTATTTACTAGCGGCATGCCTCTTCCGCCCCTCAATCCTATTTGCCTTGCCTGCGCCGTACAGGCCGTAAATACAGATATTGTTATGTGTGTATTCTACAGACGCGTTTGCTGCTCACGTTGATGATGCAAGTGACGCATAACAGAAATCGAAACCGAAGATGTTTCAAATAAAATATTGTTTTACTAGATTCTAGGGAACCAAGGTGAATGTAACTTTTGATATGTAAATATTACATCTGCAAAGAGCTATGTAAACAGATCTAAAATCAGAAAAACGGACACCAGCCAAAGCATGAGTTGCAACCTTCAGCAGTTCGAACGGCGGATATAGAACACAGTTTCATAATTAATGTATACTGCCTTGATTAAAGTTATTCACTTATCGTTTTGTAATGGTCTCGCCGGATAAGAGCGAAGAGGAATACCTATCAATATCAAAATACACGTGTTTTAGGTGAGAGATAAACAATACTCAGTCTACTTTAATGAAAAACAATATCAAATTCTTATCTGTATTCAATGTAAACGCGTTTCGATTATTTACATTGAATACAGATAAGAATTTGATATTGTTTTTCATTAAAGTACCTAAACATTTGTCAAAATGAACAATATACAATACTCAGTCTGCATAATGTATCTTTGTTACATTTTGTAATCTGCATATTACAAGTCTTTAGCTAGATGCCATAAGTCAAAGTCAAAGTGAAGTAGGTTTCAGTTTGTGGGCATAGCCCTTACAACTAGGAGTTGTTTTGCCTTTTAAGCTAGTTACCTAGGTACCTACACTTGCAGCGATAGGTAGGTACCTACGTACACATTTTTAGGAGCTAGATTTTATCCAACCAGGTACATGTGATTTTAGGATAATGGTTTGCAGAGAAGCCATATTGATATAAAAGATAAGCTGGGCTGCTCGTAATTATAATGTGATGGTCGTACATTTCTTCTAATATCTTCTGTGAAGTGCTGGAACATGAGTGGAGTGCAATTTTCATTATCATACAAGCTCATTTGTTCTTAATTGGTATATAATGTAAGATAAAAACACTAAAACCACCCAACATTTCGTGTTATTCACTTTTTCAATTTTATCTTACATTACATACGAATTAATTTGTCCAATTCAAATAATCATCCTTTGTTCTTATAATGTGCCATTGTTACCTATGCATGCTACATTCAATAAAAGGTAGCAGACTGGTATTAACATTCATCAGTAGGTGGAACTATGGTCATGAGTACCCAAATATAGGAACGTTCCCATTTTTTGGAACGGAGTTCCCAAATATGGGAACGGGCGTTCCCATTTATGAGAACGGAAGGTAATTTTTCGGCCGTTCGCCCACTAAAACTCATTAGTGCATCACGTCTCAAAAAAGTGCACGCTAATTTACGTATCCACTAAGTCTCTATAAAATTATCTTTAATCTGACCGTTGAACAAGGAAATTGACCGTCGAATGATATTTTTAATGATTTTTTGAAATGACGGAATGGTGAAAACATGGGTTATACTACCTTTAACATGCAATTTTAAGGAAAATGAAGCGTTTTTTACATTTTGAGGTCAAGTATAATAATTTTCGCCTGGTTATGAAGTTTCATACTAGCGACACCAGATACTGACATATGCAAGCGAACACGCGGACAGTCCCGAGGTAATATTGCTGACTTTTGGTGTCGGGGCGGACGACCGCGTGGAACGTGAGTGAATTTACCGAACTACTGTCGTAAACTCAGTTTAAGTGGTTGAAAATTATTCAGCTGTATTTTATTAACCCTGAAAGACATATTTTATTTGGATGCTAGCTGTTTAGCGTTGCTTTTAACCCTCGCCCGCACATGCCATTTTCCCATCCTAGAACGCACATGGGGTGGGTGGTTGCCACCCCCCCCCGCGCCATTTCGTTCCTGTTCGAGATAGAGCTTAGCGGTAAAGACCAAAAAGATTCTTTGGGAAGAGACGAATCCAATGATACCCAGTTTTACCTTCTCAGGTCAGTCATTGACCTTCCAGGTCAGGTCAAACTAAAAAATGTTGCTGTTTTGGGTCACCGTTGGATATCAAGTGCGCTGCTTATCATATACCGATAACGATGCCGTTTTCTGGTGCCAAGCCAGCTAGAACCTCTTTCTCACACTACCCGACCAGGTTTTTGCTGCTGAGGTCATTTCAGGTCAAGTTAGGTCAAGGTCAATTATATGTGTTTGTATGTCTGTGTGTGTCTGTGTGTATACTGATGTGTGCACCGATTGTTTATGTGTCCATATTACATGAAATCATGATCTGAGAAGCTTTTACCAAAAATGCAGTCAAAAAACTTCACAAAAAGTAAATTCCGCTTGCCTAAAACGCAATTATCTTAGATGACCTAGGTTGACCTTGACCTTGACCTTGACATCTGTACATCGTCGAACAACATGTTCCATGATGGGTGGGAGGTAAGACTGGTAAAAAAGGCCGAAATCAAGGTGTCGAAAGCTCACAAGGCCCATAGCCAACGCAAGATGTCGAGAATTGGCCATTTGGGTCATGACATGACCTGAAAAACAAGGTCATATCTCCGAAACCAAAGGTCACAGAAACTTGAAATTTTCAGTGGACGTCAAGAAAGGATAGAGGAGCAGCTATACGAAAAATCAGCCTTCTAGCTCCAAAAATGTTGAGTGCAGAGCAGAAAGACTACCTGGGGGGGGGGGTGGCAACCACCCCCCCATGTGCGGGCGAGGGTTAAGGAGCGTCATGAGCGTGGTTTTTGCCTTCAGTATTTTTAAGCACGATCGTTTTGGGGGAATTTCTTTTATGCAAGTCGCCCTGTGTGGCTTATTTATAATTTTTATGCTGATTTTGATCATTTCTTGTGCCCATCCTACCAGGATTTTTGCCACTTACACTCATTAAGAAAGGAAAAAAGTAGATTTATATTGGGACTAGGTGTTTTGAGAGTGAAACATTCCAGCGTTCCCATTTTTGGATACTTGCTTGTGCTCGTCAACTATCGGTGATAAACAGACAGGTGCTTGACATGTCTCCACCCTCGGCGCGGACGGTGGATATAGGCATGGAAGACCTTGTTGAACATCGCTGAGCGTTGTGAATTACATAATCCTGCAGAGGGGGGCGTGCCCGCTGCGAGATCGACGGGAATAAAAGCGCAGAAGACCGGGCGAAACATGCGACGGTCTTGCCGGAAAGGTCATCTGATGATTGTTGCGTTAACAATAATTTGCCGCGTTGGACGTGATGCTTGTTAATGAAAAGAGCCCCTGAAAGGCGTCGGTGAAATCGTTCCCAATTTTGGGTACGCCGTTCCCATAATAAGGAACGCTTGCAGCGCCAGTGTACGAGAGCGTTCCCAAATTTGGGCTCGCGGCCCGGATGATGGACTGCTTTAGAAATAGGCGAACGATTTGAAACTACGATGGGCCTTACAATATCAAACTCTTTCCCAACAATATTGAGACAAATATCAGGCGGTTCACGATCGTTTTATATTTTTTGGACGTCATTTAACGGTTCTTTTTCTTGTTTTAAATAATGCCTACATGGCGTTCCCATATTTGGGTTTATCGTTCCCAAACATGGGAACGAAAATGCGTTCCCGAAAATGGGTACGCTTGACCATAGTTCCGCCTACTGTCATGGCAAGAAGTGTGGATTTTGGAATCAAATTGAGGTTCATAATCTCAGGCTAGTAGTTGTGAAAATGCTCAATTTGGTGAATCTTTAAAGTTTGATATGGCGCACTTAGGTTTTTCACATCATGGCATTTCAAATTTTCTCAGAAAATATTTACAAGCACAGGTTCACAAAATATGTTTGTGCTTCTTCTAGATTTTCTGACTTGCAACTATTATAACCACATATTATCTGAATTACCACGCTACTGTTTATTGACATTCAGATGACTGAGTTTTGTTCTCAATTACCATGCCTAGCGTAGGTACTATTTAGTATTTTGTCCTTTGATGAATGAATGGATTGATATGCTGTAATTTTGGTGTATGTGAAGATGAAATCTGAGTGGTAGGTAGGTTTGTTTGTAGGTTGTAGGTTTGAAGGTTGATGGTTGGTAGCTTACCTAGTAGGTAAGGTTAGGTCAGGTTAGATTATGTATATTTTTATCCCTTTGGACTTCATCTTCACACTTGTTATAATTTTGGTGCTTCTTGACTTGTTTTAATTTTCTTTCAATCCTTTCTCATCAATAGTTTTGGTACATTTGTCTCAGAAAGTCGACAAGTTTCTGACATTCCAGATGTGCTGTCAGCTGTTCATTGTCCATCCAGCCTCATACAGACTACAGTGTGCATCATCTTCTCTCTGATGATGAAATTTGTTGTACTTCCAGCTATCTGGGCCCAAGGAAGACATGTCTCATGACCAGGATCAGCCTGATGTGGTGGATCATACCTTGAAGGTTGATGATGATGATCTGTTTGCTTCTGCTGTTCAGGTCAGTCTGCAGCTCACTGCTCTGAGATGGGGATTGAATTTAATGTATCACTATCTTTCCAAGAGACATGTTTTCTTCACGATCATCCTAATGTTCCCTTCATCCATGGTGTGCGTTTTTTGTTGATGAGGTTTCATTTTATCATAATTGAATGAAAGTATGGTACAGGCACGTTTTCTTACCACAGTTCGCTCAGTTGTCTCATTCCTGCACCAGTGGAGCTCTCAGCTAACCTCTGCTCTTCCTCCCCAGTCGCCACTGACGGAGAGCGCCGCCTCGCCGCCGCCGTCGGGCGCCGCGCCCGGCAGCGGCCCGCTGTCAGCGGACCTGGCCGACGCCACGGCCGAGGTCAGTCTCGAGGACGACGAGGAGACGCCGTCGCCGGCCGAGGCGGCGCGCCTCTCGCTGGATGACGCCAGCGAGCTGACAGAGCCGGCTGAGCCGCCGCCGGAGCCGGCCGACCGGCAGACGGAGCCGGCGAGAGAGAATGGTGCCGCCAGCTCGGAGACGGCGCAGATCCAGTCCACTGTGCAGGTAGGGAGGGGAGCCATACTGGAGAAAGGAAGGTCTGTTCGTCTGCTGGTAGGGAGGGGACCCACGCGAGAGGTAGGAGGGTGCGTTTTTTTTGTGCTGGTAGGGAGGGGACCATCTGTTGACACGAGTCTGTTCGGGAAGTGACTGTAGTGATGACTGTTTCTTGATGCGGATTCGATTGTTTTTATGCATCGTAACAAATTTGCTTTAAAGTTATCGATAATTGCATACACGTGTCCCCCATTGTGAGTTTTTTTTTGTGGTTCAGCATTACGAAAGTGGCATATCAAATATCACGAACATGGTATCGCCACATTTTTCGCTGCCATGCTGTCTCTTTCCGATCGTGCAGCTGAGATCAGCTCGTGAGATACCGTCTCGTTTCCCGTAGTCCGTTTTCCGGGTACCGCCCTGCTGCCAGCCCGGCTCCTACTCACGTCTCGGGCCTATCTAGTGCCTTTGTAAATATGACGTCACAAAGGGTCCGCTGTACGGATTCCGCCCACAGTATGACTCATTGTTGATGCAGCTGTGTGTCTGTGAGACACCTGACGTCGATGTTGGTAATTTGTCCTTTGTGCTACAAACCTTTTGGCGTGACATAATGAATTGACTCCAAATCCATAAATCCATAGACATGAAGAAATGATTATTTGGTTTTACCGGATCAGCAGTGCAGTACTTGTACCCGCTGCCATGACAGTGTTTTAATTTGTTGTTACCTGTTTTATTAGAAAGTTCGTATAAAATGCCATTGCCTTTCGCCCCGTGCCTTGTTAACACCTGTCCTCCCGTTTTCAGGAGGACGGTAAATTAGCCCTGTGCCATGCAATGCTAACGCCTGTCGTCTCTTCCCCAGGAGGACACTAACTCCGCTCCGTGCCGTGCTAGCGTCTGTCCTCCCGTCCTCAGGAGGACGATAATTTCGCTCCGTGCCGTGCTAACGTCTATCCTCCCGCCCCCAGGAGGACGCGAACGGGGAGGAGGACGATGAGGAAACTGACCAGTTTATCGAGGTCAGCGTGGTGGAGCCCGTCAAAATCGGCGACGGCATGTCCTCCTACATGGCCTACAAGGTCATCACAAAGACCAACGTCTCCTACTTCAAGTGAGTCGCGAATGGCGGCCGGTTTGGGAGAGCGGTGACTGCGGCGATTGGTTTCAGTGGCGTAATGACATTTTTTTTGTATTTTCTTTAATTTGTTTTAGAACGGACATTGTCTTTCTGCGTGAGAAATAGAAATATTACGAAATTTCGGTGGCTCCTGGACACCCGATTCGACTCGCACACAACATGTGCCTGCTTGTCCTTGAATATTATTTTGACTTCTTAATAATGGCTCCAGCTATGAGTCTCAGAAAGTCTGACCCTGAGTCACCAGGTAGCCATGTACCTCGCGCGCCCTCCGCTGACGGTCTGCTGACGTGCGCTGGATCGCCGCAGACGGCAGCGGTTCTCTGTGATGCGTCGCTTCAGTGATTTCCTGGGCCTGCACGACAAACTGGTCGAGAAGCACATCCGCTCGGGCCGCATCGTGCCGCCGGCGCCGGAGAAAAGCGTTATCGGTGAGCACGGCCATGTGTGCCTTGGGGGAGGGAGGGGAGTAGAGCACTTCACGGATAGGCTTTTTAGGATCCGACCCGGCCCATATCCGGCAAGTCATATCCAGATCCGCCCATTATCCGCCTTTCTTTGAATATCAGAATCCGGCCCACCCATGGCCCGTATTGCAGCCAAACTTCCAAAAAATATCCGTAATAATCCGTTTCACCAATAACTGGTTTCACCCAAAACTGGACTAACAAATTCAATCTAAGGGACCAGACAGCCATACAAGTCTTATGACAAGTGAGTGTCATAAAATGATGCCTATTACTTTAATCAAACCTCTGCTGCCGCTTAACACATTAGGTTAATTTTTAACTTCAATGTTGAATGTTAAAATTTTGATCCGTTTTGATCCGGGTTCAACCTTCAATTCCCAAATCCGGCCCGCCCATATCCGTTCTTTTTTAACAAATTTAGAATCCAATCCTATCCGGTCCGCGGATTTATCCGTGGATAACGGATTTATCCGGCCCATGAAGTGCTCTAGAGGGGAGTACCTAACGATAGTGGCCGTAATCGACTGGTGATGCGATCCCACTGGTTTTTAGAATCTAGCCTGGTGGTGAATTCGACCAGGAAGTGGTATGCCGAGTCCCGACGGAGGTTTTTGGTATGTGAAAAATTATCAGACTGGGAGGATAGTTCTATGGGCGTATATGAGTGATTCATGCGCCACAACATCCATGGGTTGCTGTAGTATGTTACACACGACGCTATCGCTCGATATTGCTGATAGTAATGTGTGTTTTGTAAATGTCAACATATGGCTCGGTGTCACTATCAAGTCAACTTATGGCATACGTTGTGAAGCATTGCGTTATTTCTGCTCAGCGCCGTGATGACGCTCTGACACTGTATCTCTTCTAACCCTGTCTCACCCTTCTTCAGGCACCACCAAGATCAAGATCGGCGGCGGCAGCGGGGGTGGGGGCGGCCACGCGAGTCACGGCGGCGGCCCGGAGACTGGCGGCGGTCAGAGCGAGTTTATCGAGCGGCGCCGCGCCGCCCTGGAGCGCTACCTGAACAGGACGGCCGCCCACCCGACCCTACGCGCCGACCCAGACTTCAGGGAGTTCCTCGAGCTGGGTTAGTGGAAACACGGGGCAGGCGAGAAAAAAAAAACGAAAATGAGGCGAACCACTGAATTTTAGCGAGGATAGACGTCATGTCACTGGACAAGGAGCATAATTGGAATCTTGCATATATTTTGCCTGGTTGAACGACTATGTAACATCATATGCTTATTTGCTAGTTTTATGTTATAGACATTTTACCAGTTGATTGCCTTTGAGTACACTACGACGTTATGACCTGGCTTGTTAGATTACGCACGATTCTGCACTAAGACCTATGAATGAGACTAACACACCGTTTGTATTACTTTGACTTACCGAGGTCTCGTTAGCAAGCTACCTCTGTTTGGGAACTCACCAACATGTCACCGTGTTTCGCTCTTCCTATCTCAGACGAGGAGCTGCCACGAGCCACTCAGACGTCGGCCCTCAGCTCAGCCGGCGTACTCCGACTCTTCAACAGGGTCGGCGAGACGGTCAGCAAGATCGCCTTCAAGATGGACGAGTCGGACGTGGTACGTGCCGGGCGGGCGGGACGGGGGATTGGGCGGGTTTGGTGAGCTGCCCTTCATGATCCGTACTGGACTTTAGGGTCCGGTCCGGTTGCTGGTTGAAAGCTGTCATACTATAGCTCAGTAACGTCACACATTGATCCAATTCATTCGATGGGAACGCTGGGGTGTTCACTTCATGCTGGGTGTTCTCATCTTGGCCGTATACAGTTCTCTACATCAGCTGTTAATGTAATTATCCATAAATGAGTTCCTTGCTCACACAGCTAAGTGACAGAGATGTAATCATCTCCTCATGCTCTGGTCTCTACTTTGTTCTGACAATTGCCGGTATTGGTTGAAAACAGAGTGTGTTGTGTTGAAGCCATAAATCCTGAGGCTCATTTTCCGATGGCGGGGCGATAACACTTCTGTTTGCTGTCTCGCCGCATACATTGTTCCGCGCAGTGGGAGGGCCAGGTATCTTTATTCGCTCAGTCGGCTCAACTTATTGCACGCATATATTTTTGCTGAAACCCTTTACTATTCCTTTTTTCGATAGCGCATTGCTTTACTGTCCTGTGTGAGTGTGGTTTGAGTTTCGCTTGTTCCTTGTCTGTGGTACGTATTCGATTGATCCATTGCGTAAATGTACTCCGGACAGTCAGAGGGTTCTAGCAGGACTCTGCTGGCAGACGAGGTCTGCTTCCGTGTTGAATCAATTTTCGGCGTAACTGTAGAACGACCCTCTGCCCGTGAATCTGCTCTGCTCGTGCTCGTGACCCTTCTACTCAATGGTAGCCAGCGCTGCTGTGGGGCGGAAACCCTGCCTTACCCCTTATTAGCATTTAGAGGTGCCCACTTGTGAATGGACATTTATTACCAGTCGTGACAGCAGCAGCTGTGGAGGTGATACAGCGTTATCGGTCCCCTAGTTTCGCCTTCCACCGCACGGTGGCACTAGTGTCGGCATGAGGGTGGACTGACGCTCCTTGAATAGTGGACCGTCGTTCCATGATTGCTTTGTTGTTTGAGCGCATTTGGTACTCTGCCTGATCCGTGCCTTTCCATTTGATGTTTCCATGTGTTGTAATAGTAGCTACCCTCTGTCTCAATGCCTGTTTTAGAACATAGCTAGCATTGCTCATGCTGTTGTTGTCTTTCTACTTGTTATCTGAACTGATCTTGTTCTGTGTTTCTAGCAACGGGAAACATCCGGGTAAAATCGACAATCGTAGTTTTTTATCTTTTTATGGCCTAATGTGTATCGCAACCATCCCGTCATATATCTCCCAGCCATTTGTACTGTACTTTCCAACCCCAGCTCCCCACGTGAGCTCCCCTGTGCGAAGGAACTCCGCCGCGTGACTCCTGTCCCCCACTGCTTGTTCTCCCAGTAGCCACATCCTCTCCCATTACCCGCGCACACAAAGGACTGACCACTTCTGTCTCACGCCCCCGGCAGTGGTTCGAGCTGGAGCGTGTCCATTTATAATTGTCCTACCCTGTCTTATAAGTATTTACCTCCCCTGACCGCTGGTGTCTCCCGCCGTCTGGCAGCGGTTCGAGGAGCGTGTCCATTTATAATTGTCCTACCCTGTTTTATATTTACCTCCCCTGACCGCTGGTGTCTCCCGCCGCTCCCTGACAGTGGTTCGAGGAGCGCGTCCAGCAGATGGAGTCGCTGGACGGCCAGCTGAGGAAGCTGCACGGCTCGGTCGAGTCGCTGGTGCTCTACAGACGAGAGCTGGCCACCAGCACCGCCCAGCTGGCCCGCGCGGCCGCCATGCTCAGGTAGGGACGGGGGTGGGTAGTTGGGGACCGGGGAAGACGCAGACTGCTGGGGGAGGGTGAGAGATGAGGTGAACGGACCTGAGCGGCCGCCACGCTCAAGTGACTGTTGGGGGCTGTGGGACCCCGGGGAGGGCACTAGCGACAATGAGGGATTAGAGGCGGCCGGTACGAGCAGATATTGACACGAGGCATCTCTAGAGCGTCGGGCGATAGCGTATGATATTCGTACATCTTGTGTTCCCCTATGTCGCTCTTCAGACGTAACTTGACGTGCTGTCCGACTCTCACGTTCCCTTCATAATGGTCTTATGGTTCTGACTGACTTCTCTATATCCAGTAACGTTGAGGAGCACACGGCGCTCTCTGACCCTCCGTTTCCCCTCTCTCCATATTCCAGTAACGTTGAGGAACACACGACACTCTCTGACCCTCCATACCCCCTCTCTCTCCCCATTCCAGTAACGTGGAGGAGCACACGGCCCTCTCCCGGGCACTCAGCCAGCTGGCAGAGCTGCAGGAGCGCGTCGAGCGCCTGCACTCACAGCAGGCCGACAATGACTTCTACATGCTGGCCGAGATGCTGAAGGACTACGTCATGCTCCTCGGGGCCGTCAAGGTAAATGCTTTTACTTCTAGTGGGGGTTTTGACTTACGAATGACGATATTCACTTTTGGAAATTGGAAACTGGTTAATGAAAGCGCACATGTGACTCCACGGAGGAATGTTTTACCCATGACCATGCGCGGGCTGCATTCACAGGTACCTATGTGAAAAACGTGCGCATGGATCAAGTTATATCGACGTTGTCCACATATCCGCATATCATGTTGCCCAGGTGACTCACTTCATACCGACTTGGTCCGATACTGATATTGATGTCTGCGGATATACTCCGTTGATCTGTTTTCTGACGTTTTGCCCTGTCTCTCTCCCCAGGACGTGTTCCACGAGCGGGAGAAGCTCTACCAGACGTGGCAGCACGCGCAGCAGACGCTCACCAAAAAACGAGAGGCCAAGGCGCGCCTGGAGCTGCAGGGACGCTCCGACAAACTGCAGCAGCTGGGGGACGAGGTCACCGAGGTCAGTGTCGGGGTCACAGGGGTCACCTAGGGTTAATTTGGGTCACCCGAAATCACTTCTGTCACACAGGTCACTTCTGGGTTACTTTTCACTTGAGGTCACTAGTGACCGGGTAGGTCTCTCGCAGGTTACTTCGAATTAAATCAGTCACTCTCGCATTAGGAAAGGAGACCAGACTGTCATAGAAAATACGTAATAAAAGCTTGAGACTGGGCGATAAAAAGTGTTTCATTGACCATCTTATTAGCTAAACTAGAACTTGAAATTTGTTTTGTTCATACAAATGTCAAATGTTGTTTGTAGTTAATTTTAACATATGTTTTTGACGAGAAGACATTTTCACTTGGACTTTGCTAATTTTGTTTCAACAGTGGGAATCAAAGGTTGAGAGGAGCCAGGAAGAGTTCGAGCGTATTTCGAGGTCGATCAAGAAGGAGATGGAAATGTTCGACTGCAACCGGGTAAAGGACTTCAAAGACTGCATCGTCAAGTATCTGGAGACCTTGATGGCCAACCAACAAAAGGTAGGCGGAGCCGGACTTCGGGATCATATCGTGTCATCAGGATTAAAACAACAGTGATGCATTTAAACAACTTCAGCGTCATTTGCCTGTAGTTAGTTGGCGATGGGCCTTTCCGCGACTGTGGGAGCTGTTGCCCTGACACCCCTCTCCCTCTTCCCAGCTGGTGAAACTCTGGGAGACCTTCCTGCCAGAGGCCAAGGCCATCGCGTGAACGCCCGGTGGCGCTGCGACCTCCATCAACTCTGGTCATTCCTCTCGGGTCGGTCGGGTGAGGGGCGGACTGCGCGGCCGGCCGGTCCCTGTCCGCGCCGGACCCTCACTGCGCCGCTGAGCGCGGCCCGGCCGCACACTGCGTCCCTCTGACTGTATATACAGGGGACGCCACTGACGGCGGCACAGAGCGCCCGCTGCCTCCAGACACACGTCGCGAGCTGCGCCTTGCCCCGCCGCAGCGACGGATGTATGTTTATGAATGTTAACCAGTTGTCAGGTGTTGGAACGACTATGCCCTACGAGCACATCTATTTGCGCGCGCGCGTGTGTGTATAGTTTCTTTTTGCTTTTGTACGGCTTTTCAGTTTGACTTGTCCTAGTGGATGGCTTCAAGTCTATCACCTGCCAACGTCTAATGTCTATGGGAGGACCCACGTAGCCCGTTATGCTCTGTGATATGCATGAGGAGTGCACGGCAGTATTGGGGGACGGGACTGGGAGCGGCGATCGGCTCCCTCAGCCAGTCGATCCACTCTCTGTGCCTCCGTGGTAGCGAACTCTCGGCCTCCCGGACTGTATGCCTCAGCCTGTATCCAACCAAAAGTAAGTTGTTATGCGACGTGCGATACTGGAATCATACGTTATCGAAAATACACTGCATCTCTGTATTGAAACGATTTTATTGTAACATCAGTTTTGGTGTGCAATATTTTAATGAAAGCAGCGTCATCATTAATTTTCAATAGTTTGCTCTTTCCATTTTTGTAGAAATGCTCGCTATCGAATGAATTCCGGAATCCGGATTCCTGGGTAAATCATGAAGGAATTTCGGGATGTTTTGTTAGCTAGTTTAGTCGCAGATTCGGTTGGTGGCTTTGATGTCGAATGGACATCCACCACAAATGTCGTATTTTGCATCGCTCATGCGCTGCTTCCTCTCAAAGTTACAAGTCTCTCCCCTGTTCCTGAAGTACCAGATGATTCCAGTAGCATCCTGTATGGTTCGGTACCCTGCCCGCCAGCCCCTCCCGCGTCACTCTGCGCTGGTGTCCTCTGAGTCCGTCTGACATGTCGGCTGCCTGGCCAACCAGGAGTGGCCGGCCACCGCTGGCCACTTGGTAACACGAGACGGCGGCTATTCCTGTCGCCCGGGGCGACGGTACCGGCCGACGACACTCCGCACAGGCCGGCCGACGGACCGCACAGACGGACCAGAGACCGTGCACCGACGGAGCAAAGCCACTGCGCAGACGGACCAACAACGGGAGAACACAGAGCCGACGGACCGACCGACAGCGTATGGGTGTTACTGCTCCTGCGGGCTCCACGTGAACGCTCATCCGACTGTAGCACAAGGGAGGCACGAGGCATATTGAAAGCGACGGGGTGTATCACGGGCTATAACCTATAACTGTTTTCTGGATGAGGATGGTCTGAAGTAGATCATCTCCAGGTGGGGGAGGGGGGGCTTCATGCATTTTAAGACCTACGACCCCATCATTCGATACTGGATTGAATCACTACATCGACCCCTCTTCGTCACGATCTCGACACCTCTCCAGTGCCTTCATCGAGACACATTCTGTGTTGGTGTTGGCAGCCGTCTACTCCAGTCATCTCCAAAGCCGCGGAGAGCCGCCAGTCGACTTTTTCCGATGACGAGTCGTTAGCAGTGGCACAGCTGGACTGAACACACAGCCCGCCAGCTCACTGCTTTGTATCACGTATGATATGAGATCATTGAGAGGAATGAGACGGCATATATTGAAAAACGTTACCTTTTCAACTGGCGTGATTGTTTCGAATCGTGCTTATTTTTGTTAGCGTTCGACTGCGGCAGAGGCGAATTCTCGGGCGGGGCCTGACTGCCAGTGCAGCGGTGCGCGGGGACCTCATCGAAATGATGGACCCCGACAGCTGCGATATTGGACGGATTATTTCAAAACGAGTATCATGATGGTTCAGGATATTTATGTTTTAAGCAATTCAAGGATATCTATGGTTTCTACCGAAACACCGCTGGCATACTATACTTTGCGTTATGCTGTTTTTCTATATAACTGGGTTGAGTTTAGATTGTTTCCATGCCCTGTCCAATGAATTATAATGATATCCTCTTTTTTGCATAATGCATATCATCCACTCCACGGTGTGGAAGTGGATGCCTGGATACATAACGCTATGTCACTGTCATCCTGTCCAAATCTCACTTTCTGAATCATATTGACGCTAACGTATCGGACACGCTGACACTGATCCTACGACCCGACCTGAGACGTAAATTCCCCCTAATCACGGACCCATGTCATCTGAAGCGCCGGACGCGTGCTCGTGCCGAAGCTGGGAGCGCCGGTGACAGGCGGGCCGGTCCTCCTGCCGGCTGGCCGCCCTCCAGCGGCAGCAGCCGGGCTAACTGTCGCCGCCCGCCTCCAAATCAAACAGGGATGACGCCGGCGGCGACCCGGCCATCCCCGTGTCACCTGTCGCTGACCCCTGACCTTTACAGAGCTCAGGGTGACCGCTGCCCGTCGAAGGTCAAACACCCGGGAGGGTGTCTGATAATCATCGGTGTCTAACACTGTCTGAGTGATGTTCCTTTCACTCGGAAGTTAGTTCAATTAAGAAGTTAATAATTTTCAGATCAGAACGTTTTGAATTTAATATCTTATTCAATTATTTTTACAGAGACCAGACTTGCACTTAAAATTCAACGAAATATATTGCATCATTCCCCAAAAATATTTACTTTGCCTGCCGAATGCCTCTCACTCGAGTTCGGCATCATCACCGGTCACGTGACCGGACCGAGTCGCCGCGGGCGGTCCCCATTACCCCCCCCCCCTCTGGAGGAAGGGGGGCTCACGCGCTGACTGAGTGGCCGATCAGCGGACGCGGCGTGTTTGTGCTGGCGCACCGCGCCGCTCCTCATCTCATCTGTCATTGTGTCGCGAGCCGGCAGCAGCTCCGACCGCTGAGCGCCGACTCACTGGGACTGGGACTGGGATAAACCGTAGGAGCAGCAGATCAAACTGCTGATGGTTGCCGTAGTGGACTCACTGGGACTGGGATAACCCAGTCAAGGAGCAGCAGCTTGGACCGCTCAGCGCTGCTAGTGCCGTCTGCGGACAGGGTTTCGGGGCAGACCACAGGAGCAGTGGCTGCGGATGGACCACAGCAGCCGTAGCTCAGACAACATAGTATCTTTCATGCAAGCATGTAAAACCAGGTTAAAAGCACACTGCCGAGTCGTGGGGGGGGGGGGGACGCGGCGTCAACCATGTCATCGTTGAAGTCGGCAGCAGCAGCGACAGTGGCAGCAGTGGCTGTAGCGGTGGCAGTGGTGACGGCAGTGGTGAACGCGGCGGGTGTCGGCGGTATTTGGGGCACGCCCAGGCTCGTCGCCATCCAACTGTGTGATAGTCGAACCAAAGACAGAAATGGTCCGACGTCTCATGGCGCCTCGTTGAGAAAAATATATGATATGTGAGAAGGACTGTTAGCATCAACATTGAGCATATTGCATAACCAAGCCAGCAATCAAATTCCAACCATGGATGCTTTTTGACTACATATCTTACCAATTCATCCGAAAATATGCTCAGTTCATTCGATTATTGCCAAGAATCTCTGCTAAAATTACACGAAATAAGTCGCGGGCCTAAGATAGCGTTATGCTTGTAACAACAGCATCATGCCAGCAGCGCCGGATAAAAATAAACGTCGCGACATCCCGTGTCACAGAAAGGCTCTGAGCCCTGTCTTATGTGACACTTGATGGCGCTGCAAACCAGGCCCGCCAACTACCGGACACGATCACCCCAATTACCGAATGTCTGCAAACATCCCACCCACACACCACAGGGACCGAGGTAACGACGTCATCTCATTCCTCATCATCTGAGTCGCCGCGTCAGTCGGTCAGGGATGATCCGTCAGCCCCCAGTCCCTCCGCCAGAGGTCCTCTCCGCAAGTATGGCATTTGGACGCACGCGGGTGCCAACATACCTGTGACAGGGCCAGAGACATTCAGAAATAGGCGTGCGAGACGCCGCCGCCGCCGCTGTCGAGGCCGGAGCCGGGGTTGGGGCCGGGGCCAGGGCTCGACGGAGCCCTGTGGACCAGGTGGGCCATTCTGTATATCGGGGCGAGGTGACACCAAAGGCGCCGCCGGAGCCCGTCCGCCGGCTGTAGCCATACGGCTTCCACCTGGCTGAGCTGAGTGGGCTGATCACTGCGGTGATGGGTCGTAGGTCACCCACTGCTTGTGCTATAACCTCTGTCGGTGAGATGGGTGGGGAGAGGGAGGGTGGGGTGAGGCAAACGAATCAGCGACCCTCCTCCTTTGAACCGAGGTGCTACTACGTGCGAGAATACAAACTGCCGATATACATACATAGAGTGGAGAAGAAACTCCTTGCAAAAGATGGGACTGCGAATTTCCAGTCGTCATCAAACCGTTTAGAGATAACAGTGGCTGTATTATCGTACCCGAACCAGCAAAATATTATGTGCGGAATTATACGTGATTAATATTCCTTATAAAGCTGCAATCTACCTTTTTATTTTCTGCGCAGGTATGCCGTTTTGTGAATGGATGCCGGCACGTGACCGCTAGCTGTTTGGACTCTGTCGGCGCGCGGCCAACCATATATCAAGGAGCGAGGTGTGTGACCAGCTGGGATCTGTTGGTTCTGGCTGCAATTATAGACAGGGCGCGGCAGGCTGCGACACTTTCAGCAAATATTTCATTATATTATATATTGCAGGCCTTTTAGAAACTCGAGCTGTTTGTAAACGGTCTGTCTGGGTCCTTGTCGTTTACAAATGGCCTGATTTTCAAAACGGCTTACGGAATATGTACGATTTACAGCAGCCCTTAATTGAACCAGTATAACGCCTTTTGGGGCGACTAACGGAGCGAGCGAGAGGGTGGGCCTTGCACGTGCGAAATTGCGAGGGGGTACCTTCAACTGACTTGTGCACGGCACCCTACTAACCGGTCTCTAGCGACGTGCCAAATTTGGGCACAATCGGCCCAGCCGTTCTCGAGATCTGGAAGCGGCACCCTGCACGTGCGCACGTGCAAAATGTGTCCTAACTGACTTGTGCACGGCACCCTACTAACCGGTCCCTAACTGTGTACCAAATTTGAGCGCAATCGGTCGAGCCGTTCTCGAGATCTGGAAACGACCCCTGCACGTGCGCACGCGCAGCAGCACCCCACCTCTGGCACATGGATATGCAGTGCCAAGTGGGTGCCTACCTACAATCTACATGCCAACTTTCAGCGCAATCGGCCAAGTAGTTACCGAGATATTGCAACAATTACAAAACGGACACCTCTTCTTTTTGCACGTGGCACGTGCATAAGGGGTCACCCACATGCATCAGGAATAGTCCAATACTTGGTAGAAGGAATGAAGCTACCCTACAAAAATTACCGCGTGTAAATCGGTCAAGTGGTTGCTGAGATATAAGCCTCGCAAAAGCGTGACCACGGCCGGCCGGCCGGCCGGCCGGCCGCTCATACTCAGAAATTTCCGTTAATCTAAGGAATATATACCAGTATAACGCCTTTTGGGGCGACTAACGGAGCGAGCGAGAGGGTGGGCCTTGCACGTGCGAAATTGCGAGGGGGTACCTCCAACTGACTTGTGCACGGCACCCTACTAAC